TTTTTCTTGTTTTTATGTAAACAAAAAATTACTAAAATTCTAGGTAAGTTTGATTCAAAATGACAGAAAAGAGGGCCAATTCTTTGTTAGTAAGAGGAGTCTTTTATATTTCCTTAGCTACATAAATTAAGACTATGTGAGGTGATGTTGTACTGTTTAAAACAAACGTAAAATCCCAGCTACAACACAAAATGAATTTTAGCAATTAATAACTTAGAAAATCCTTAGAGTTTATCTCTTTCTACATTCCAGAATTAAAATTTCCATAACACACCCACCATTGAAGATCTTTAAGATTTGAAAGGGTAACTGTCTTCCGAAGCAATGAGGGAGTCACAAATCCCATCATTCTGTAGGGAGTAGAAGTGGGAATTGGCAAATTCTTTTCATCTACCAGAAAAGAATTTAAAAACTAGTGTTCATTGTTAAGGATAATGGCATATAGGGCTGCTCTGTGGAAGGTGATCTGATGACCAAGGGAAACCCATTACACAAGAGCAATATCTGCTATTACTGTGCTCCTAACTGCTGTCCTGTGGTGAACACATGAGTTGGGGCTATAACCATGGGGCACAATGAAGCCAATGGCGTGGAGTTGGAGGGGCGGTGGTGAATCATAAGATTGGAAGTGGCTTCAAGATTGAGATGCCCTGTGCCTTGTATTAATCTAAACAATTGAAGCATCTTTTCATTGACTTGGGGGCCTGGCTCAAGATTACCTACATGCTAGGGGAAGAATATGCTGGCAAATTTTTTTAAATTTTAAATGTGAATTCTTTTATCAGTATGAGGGTATCATTTCAAGCAGAAAGTGTGTGTTTTTGTGTCAAGGGCATCGCTGGCTTCAGCTGAGCAGGCTCCTTTAGAAGACATTTGCATCATTGGCAGTGTCTGTTCAGCAAGATGTGGAAGAAGATTGAACAGAGTCAAACAGCAATTGAACCTCAAATAAGAGAAATCTGAAATCTAGGTTCCATTAGTTTAAAACGAAAACTTGTCAGCCAGTCATGGTGGCATACACTTGTAGTCCCAGCCACTTGGGGGGCTGAGTCAAGGCAGGAGGATTGCTTGAGCCTAGGAATTCAAGTCTGCAGTGCACTGTGATCAAGCCTACGAATAGCCAATGCACCCCAGCCTGGGACCCCACCTCTATTAAAAAAATTCTCTTTTAAAGCACTCACTTGGCATGAAAATTCTGATACCACTTCATGTTTACATCCAAATATGCATTTAGTCTTAATGGATTGCAGGTTATCCTTTAACTTGTGTTCCTAATAAGAAATGGAGCCATAAAAGGCAATTCTCTTTACCAATATCTAGAACAACAGTGATCCACTGTTTACCTAATAATTCTCCTCTTCATTCACATGAAGTTAGCAACTTACATTTCACTACCAACTTGATGCCAAAGTCAAGTCAATTCACTATAAAGTAAGAGTGATTTAAAAATTGTACTGTAGGCAAAGGTTAATATAATAGAAACCTTAAAAAGAGGTTGGTAAAAATATTCTTTTGACAACGTGTACCCACTTAAGACATTATAAAAAAAAAGAACTGGGGGATGTCACCCAAAGGCCTAAATATTTTGTTATAAGAAAACAAAATTGGTGGTCTTTTTATATTGATTCATTTACTCATTCAGTAAACAGTGCTTACACCAGGCAAAGTACCAGGCATGGAGGGAAAGATATATCTTTAACCTCAAAGATAATGTGTGTGGAGAGATAGTCATGTAAGTAGACACAGTTCAGTGCAATGGGTGGAGCAATGTGAGGTCTGTGCAAGATGCTGTCAAATCCCAGAAGTATTTATGTTTGGCAGAAGGAGAAAAGGTGGTGCTTGAGCTCACTCTTCAAGAAGGAGCAGGGTTTTATCAGGCATTGCAGGTGAAAGGAACAGCATGCACAAAGGCCCAGGGGCAACGAGAAGGCATATCATGTTCAGGGAATCATGCCTAGTTTACATTGCCAGAACATAAAATGTGAGGAGAGTGTTAGAAGTGAAGCTGAAGGGGTGGTACAGGCTAAACATTTTGAAGATCCTTGAATACCAGCCTAAGAAGTGTAGATTTTATCTTATGTAGCAGATGGGAAGCCATTGAGAGAACTCAAACATAATCAGATGTGCATTTTAGAAAGGCCAGGCAGTCAGCAGAGTGAAGAATGGAATGGAAATGGGGGCAAACTAGTGATAATGAGACTATATGGTGATTGTTTTCACCTGCCTCCTTGATGTAAGCGTGCTAAAGAGAACCAACTTTCATTAAATAGATATAAATCCTCAAAGTCTGGCAAGAGTGAAGGCATAAAGGTATTCTTCAAAGAAACATCATTTTAAAGAAAAACACTTCACACTGGGTAAAGATGACCAATTAATTTGGTGAGACCTGCACATACCTTTTACATCTATATTTTGTTTTACTTAATTACATAACTGACACCCATCTGAGGACATTTTTGTTACTGTATTGAATAAAAAAAAGACCGTGTAGTATTGTAGAAAGGGTGTTACCAGGACTCAAGAGACTTCCCTGTAGTTTAACTTCACACCATCGTCTTTGTACGACCTTGGGAAAGTCACTTTAGCTCTTTTAGCCTCCTTTTCCTTGCTTGTAAAATGAGGGGCACAGTGTAAATTATTTGTAATGACACTTTATTTATATCATTCTATAATTTGCAGCTTTGCACTTATTAATCTCTCCTAATGTTTATTTCTCACCCTATCTTAATGATTTTTTTTTTTTTTTACAATTTTAAGAGGGACGGAAATATTTGGAAGACAACCTTTAGAGGTGTTATGTGGGGTAAAACTCTGTGTTGGCTGTACTCCACTTTATTCAGTTAGCCTTTCTCCTGGAAAGAATAAGGATGTTGGTATCCATTTTGAAACACTGCTCATGAGTCACATTTTATCCTTACACGAACAAAAGGACGACTATGTAATCACTTTTAAGGTCTACTAGGCTAATGAATAATTTATCTGTAATTTATAGATTGTAGATTTTTCCTGTCCAAAATGATTCTAATTCTCAGGACAAATAACTGCATGTTCTCAAAAAGCTAGTGTGTGGATACAATTGTGACCCTTAAAATCATAGAAAGTGTGCTGCTTCTAAAAATAGGCTCCTTATTTTAAATTCTTCATTTCTTTGGAAACTTCCTGTTCTTTAATTTTTTTTCAACTTAAGGGCCTGTTTACATTAGCAATATATCTTCTAGAGCCCTGGGAGTTTATAGAGTTTGTACCTAGAGAACATCCCGGCACTATTACTATGCTTCAGAGACATATAGGGGTCCCAGAGCAAATCAAAATGCTTTTAAATTTATGACACGTTGAAGTTGATGAAAATTCATGACGTCTCTCTGTCAGAGCTGCTTGAGTTTAAATCATCAGAGAAAGGTGAGTGCAAAGAATTTTGTTTAATACTTTTATTCTGGAATCCTTCTCATTCCTTGCTCATGGTCCCACGTTTTAGCTCTGTTCTACATAGCAGCCTGATTATAAAAATAAAAAATTAGCAGTGTGTTCTAAATTGCTTTTCAGAATTTTCTTCTTAAACCATTGCTCGGATATTTAACTTTCAAAGAGGAATTGAAATGTAGTTTGAGAATATAGTCACACACTACAGAACGTGCAAAATACATGTGGAAGACCACATGAGTGCTGGTAATTTAACTGATTATGATTTAGAAATATTTTCAAATTAGTCTTTTAAAATTGAAAAGAAAACATTGCAGGGAAATTCACAAAAATAAAAATTCCCAAAATACTGTGGATACTGAGATCAGCTGTTTTTAGGTAAAAATCCATTCAAAGCAAAATAAAAGGCATTGTGTGGTGTGTGCCGGTTAAAACTGAGAACACAAGAGCATTGCAGTTAATTAGAACCAATCAACAGGATGCTTTGCAACGTTTCTCACATCAGTGCACCATCTGATCTTCATAATACACATTTCCCACAGTCTTGATGCAAAAAGGATTGGATATAAATATTTGACTCATCAAAAATATATAATGCTTTTTAACTGTGTTTTCGAATAATTATTTTCAAGTTACTGTTATGAAAATAAGATCTTGAAAATCCCCAAAGGTTGTTCTATTTGCATTTTAAGGGAGATAATCTTAGTTACTTTGTTTTGTTTTAATTTCATTTGTATTTGAACCTGAGAAAAATACTTATTTGTAAGAATATTTAAGGCATGAATTTGAATTATTATATGCTTTACATATGGCTGTTGTACTTGTGAAAGATAACTGAGCTTTTCTTGGGTAAATCATTATATTATGAATGATTAATTAGTACAATATAAATAATGAAGTACTACATTATAGCTGTTTTCATATTAACAGGACACTGAACTAAATTAACTACATTAACATCTACATCATAAATGTTTTAAATGAATATGCAATATTTAACACTATTCTGTTTCTACAATTGACTCAACACCTAGTTCAACCCAGAAAACTTTTGCTTTAGTTTCATTTATTATACACAGGAATTGTTCTACTAGGAAAAAATATTATATTGCCTTTGTCATATTTTTGTTAAGTTCATAATTTGTTCCTCATAGACATTTGTTTCCTTTTTTTCTTTCTCTGCATCTTTTTATTATTTTTATTTTTTTGACAGTCTTTGTTACCTTGTCTATATTAAAGGTAGAGCTCCCTCTGGGCCACTGAAGTGCTTCAAAACAGATTCATAAGACAGTTTGCTAAAAGTATGTTTAACTTGAATCAGAAATATATACAACTTGACAGTAGTTTTGCTTCCTCTTAAAAGCTAATTTATGATGTCTAGCAGGTATCCTTTTTAGAGATAAAATTAGCTGTGAATCTGTTGCTATTAAAAAGAGAATTGTCTTCCAAATAAGTTGTTGATCCATTCTCCTAAATTTATAAGGTACAACTCGCTGATGGAAATATTTTACTCTTTGAACTCTGCAGTCATCTCTTGCCAAAAAAAAAATATATATATATATATATATACATATATATGTTTATTTATTTTGTTTTGGTCTGTATGTTTTTTCTCCCTTTATATCACACAAGATGTTTTTCTCCTCCCAACCTCCAAAAGCCTGTTGCTAAATATTTTCTTTCTTGAACACTTGGGTTTCTGCAGAAAAAAAAAGTTTCAAGAAACTGTCTTCACGCTAGCAATAAACTTTTTTCTTTGTCCTTTTCTTTGAACAGATTTGATCTACTTCCATTGCAAGAGATGTCTCTTAGCTAGGTTCTCTTTAGAAAACTTACTCTTTCTACTAATTTACAGAGACAGCTTTGATGACAAATACTTTATTTAGAACACTCATCTTACAAACACAGAAAAAAGCCCATGTTAGGATGTAAATCTTTTTCTTACTAAAGAGCTTATTAAAGGCAATAATATTTGTGTTTATATTTTAAACATTTGATATATATTTGCCTGTTAGGATTGAAGCGTTAGCTCCAAATGTTAACTGCTCCAAAGAAATGCAGTTTCAACAAATAACCTGAAATTGCCTCTGTAACATCTAGTTCGATTTAGAGGAATTTAAATAATAATGGCCTAAAATGCATATTACAATAACTCTGCTGATCTGTAACATCTTAAGCAAACAATTTAGGTAGAAAAGACATTTGATAAAAATAATTGGTTCAGGCAAAATAGAACTCACATTCTTCCACCAGATAATAATTCAGCGGCTATTCTAACTTGAGTAGTGCTTTATTAGACACAGTTCTCATTCTGCTTAAAGACTTAAGAAAAAAGACACATTCTTTATCTTTAAACAATTATTTTAAAATAAGTAAACAGCAGGAATGAAATAAAACTTCTCTATCGGATTTACTTGTTGTTATTCAATTTCTCAAAAATTTTCTTAGGGGACAGGAGTGTCATATGTTTAGTTTCAGGACAAAGGCACCTTTTAAAATGAAGAGCTTAAAGAAAACCTTTAAAGAAATTTGCTTACTAGACAGTAGGCTAACTAAGCTTTTGGTTGTAAAATTATCTAGATTACAACACCACGGGCAAAAAAACTAACATTTAACAAACTTTAAAACTAATGTAAGGCTAATTTTTAATAAAGAGCATCTTTTAAAAATAATAAAAGCAGTTATGAATAACCCCTGGAATTAACTTTGGCTAACATGTGTAGAAGGCACATTGTTTTACCATTCTTCTATGATTTTCTTAACTTGGGAGTTAAGAAAAATTATGTAACTTCGGAATGTTTCCAGCTTAAGGAAACATTTTTTATGCAGGATGATATGCAGTTAAAACAAGACAAAACAAAATCCTAGAGTCAAACAATATTAACTCATTTAGCGATTATGTATTATTCTTACTATTATTTTGTTTGATAAATGACCAAGCAATTAGATAATTCAAATAATTCAGATTTCCAGCTGTGTTATAAAACGTTCTTTTAATAATTTAGCAATTAATTGTGAACCCCTTGCATGCGATTCATGAATATTCCTTTTTATATCTTGAGACATGCATTTATATTTTACAGTTTATTAATTACTTTTAGCTGCATATTGCATTAAGGTGAAAACAATCTATTGTAAGCTAGTTGAGTTCATTTAAGAGAGTGTTTACATTTAATGTTGCTTTTTAATAGAAAGGAATAAAGTTGCTAAATTCAATATAAGGCAATTGTTAATTTGTTAAAGTTGCAAATATTTTGTTAAAATGTTTTGGCAATAAAAACAATTTCATAGATATTCATAAAGCTTCACTTTATAAGTTTCTATTCTATACACTTTTTAATTGCTTTAAATATATAAATATATTATTTATATTTAAAGGAATGTACGAATTAGAATTCTAATCCACTCTAAGGAAAGAGTACATTTTTCGCCAGGATAATTAACTATTTGCTTGGCTTCAATTTATCTGTCTTGTACATACAGTGATTTGACAGAACTAACTAGTGAACACTAACCAAAGCTAGAATCAACGGAGAGAATAATCAAGAAGGAAAAAAGGAAGAGTTTCAGGAAATGATATTTTCCCATCAGTGGATAGGCATGCATACATTAAAGGCATAAAAGGCAGCGGGAGGAGAAACAAAAGCTGTAAGCTAAGGATCCTGCAAGTCTGAATTAACTAAATAGGGAAAAAAAATGAAATCATTCTACTTAAACCTGTTCACTAATAAAAGGAGAATCGCTTTTGTTAAATATGCTTGGTGTGATTATCAAGCAAAATTTTTTTCTCCCAGACATCTATGAATAAAACATGCGTTTGAGCACTAGGTAAACAAACAATAAATGGATGAGTTCAGTTACAACATAATAACATTTTATTTAGAAAACATATATAATCATATTTGTATTGGCAATCCAAATTTAATGACTTCTTTCAGTAAAATCAAAGTGCCTCACAAATAACATTTAATGCATAAGGATTGCTTATTCTTTGCCCTTTTTTTTCTGTTCTCCCAAAGAAACAGATTTTTAAGGTCTCTGCTAAACCATATATAAACTAGGTAAAATGTGTTTTTTCCAGAAAAGATTTTATTTTGAATCATCTTAATTTTAGAATAGAGATGCTGTAAAAATAAATTTAAAAATACGTTTTTGAGATGGGGAAGAAAACATTTTTAGTCTATGTAGCCTGGGCTGATTTGAACAAGATTCTGTGTGTAGCTGAACCAGTCTTTGGCTTATTAGCCATTTCATTAACACGACATCATCTTCTTCAAAATATGAATGAGGAGAAACCATTTACAATAAGAAAAGCAAACAACAGAATGAATTTCCTCTGTTGGTGTTTTGTAAGACTGTTAAACAGAAAATGGAGGGAAGAACTCTCTTTAGACGATATCACTTAATTAAGTAAAGCATCCTAATCAGAGTCCCCTCCAATTGTAATGACTGTAGGGAGTCAAGTACATTTCTGTCTATATTAGAGTATCTAACTGCAATGATTTATTGATATTTATTTTAGAAGTGCAACACAAAAGCAGTAAAACAGAGGAAGTAGGGAAAGAGGGAACATGCCAGTGCTTACTGCAGTTACAACCAGAACACAACAAAATTCCTGATTTTTGTGCGGGAGGTTTCGCTTTCCAAAATCAGAGCCCATCTTTATAAGAGAATGTTCCTTTCCCTCATTTGATTTTTCCAAATGCTCACTGTGGTGTTTCTTTGTCCATTAGATGAATCATTGATTCACTTTCTTCACTGCAAGAATCACTGCAAATGAGTGGATGGGCACCTGCTGTTTTCTGCAGTGACATTACTGGATTGCATTCTACACTGATTTTAGTCTTAAAATACAGCTTCTCTGTATGGGAGAGAGATTTGAGGAAGGAGAGTAAACATACTGTATAGGCAGACAGACATTGGCTGCCCTCCAAGTTGCACACAGCATAAACCTGTTTATCTGCTACATTTCACAGATCTCAAAAACATGTGAATAATCAGGAAAGCAACTGGATAAGTGATTCACACTAGGGAACCTAACCAATATTCTGATGAGAGAATGCTATGATGCTAAGATGTTGAGGCAAATAGGCTTGCATTGTAGAAACTGCACATAGTAAAGTTGATTAGCGGTTCAAAGGAAAAAACAATCTGTACTAAAATGAATTTGAAGCAGTATCCCACCCTGTAGTCTTTGGTTTGGTATATTTATATGCAAGTTACCTGAATAACTGAGTTTAAATATATACTTTCATCCATACCATTCCAATATTTGGGGCCAGTATACATTGGCCTTCATGCTAGTTGTCAAGATACTTTATTTCTAGAGACCAAGATATAAATATTGAGGGCTAGTGCCTTAAAACCCCAAATTATACCAATATATCTTATTTGAAATTAAATTACCAAACATACTTTTGAAAAAGCAACTCTTCTTGGAAGGCTATAGTCATTTTTTATTGTTATAGAAGATGAATTGTCTGATAGTAAGTGAACTAGGCATGTAAGGCTCTCATTGTGCTGTATCAGTGCTTTCTCTATTTTTCTCTTATGTTGTTTCTTCCTTATTTGCTGATCATTTAATCTCCCTTTGCCTTATTCCCATGATTATTGTGCTTTAGTATTTAGCTGTAAAGTAGAAGCTCTAAAAGATTTTGAGGCTAGCCCCAAAAGTATACTTTGGTTTGGAAAATTTCATGAGGTTGTTAGTGAATTTTAGGCTTAAATCACTTCCATAAATCCAACCTAATTAATTACAGCAAGATGAATTACCAACTTGCTTGATATTTGTATCTATTCACTTGTATGGTAGATCTGTCATCACAGGCCTATATACCAAGAAAATGTAAGTTTTTCTACATTTGCAAACCCAAAATACTATTCCAGAAAGAAGAGCAGTAATACAACAAGGCAATTAAATACACACTCTACACCCTACAGCTTTCTTTTTCCTGCATTGCAGAAAGACAAATTACTAAAGCTTTTTGATACTGGAAAACTTTGTTAAATTATAGTAACCATAGACATCATCATCTTAGCAACAGAAAGTCTTGGAGAAGGTAGGTGACCTGGAAATTGATATTCCAAACAATTTTTTGCCACATTTGAGCTTCTTCATTAAAGCTTTGCCTCAGGAATGTGTGTTGAGTCTACTGCCAATTGCATCTGCCAAATGCTTTTTCTTGCCTTAACATTTTCTCATCTTCTTGCTTCTCGTCTCAGGTTCTTTTTCTTCAGGATCAGGCACAGAGACTGACTGAATGGCTCCAATTATCAGGATTTGAAAACCCAGTATCAGAATCTACCACTTTGTGTAAGTCTGCCCTGAGCAGTCTTTTCTTTAGCAACAGGACACTTGCATATTTTGGGATCATCTTTTCTTCTTTACTTATCTCTGACCTTGTAAAATATGACAAAAACTTTTTCATGATTAATAAGTTCATTGCATGAGACATCTTGCAGGAAAGGCAACATAAGAACTAAAAAGCATTCCCTAAAAGATGTGTTCAGGTAAGTGACAGATGGAAGTTTGTGGATGGTCAAGGGTGTTACTAAAATTATTGACAACCTAATCATAGTCTGAAGACTTAACACGTTGATTTTTATAATCACAGAAAACTATACTAGACCTTCTGTGTGAGTCAGGATTTGAATATATGCCCACAAAGCTGGAGTTGGTTCTGTGAACCTCAATTAAGGTCAACCATAGATGTTTTACTCAGCCAAGAAGAATCCTTTTAAAGTTTTTTTAAATTGATAGCTATTCTGATTAAAAAATCATCACTAGGGGCTGGGCACAGTGACTCACCTCTGTAATCCCAGCACTTTGGGAGTCTGGGGTGGGCAGATCACCTGAGATCAGGAGTTTGAGATCAGCCTGGCCAACATGGTGAAACCCTGTCTTTACTAAAAATACAAAAATTAGCTGGGCATGGTGACAGGTGCTTGTAATCCCAGCTACTTAGGAGGCTGAGGCGGGAGAATGGCTTGAACCCGGAAGGCAGAGGTTGCAGTGAGCCCAGATTATGCCATTGTACTTCAGCCTGGGTGACAAGAGTGAAACTCCATGTCGTAAAAAAAAAAAAAAAAAAAAAAAAAAGTAAAAAAAATCACTAGGGCTGGGCATAGTGATGCACACCTGTAATCTCAAACCTTTGGAAGGCCAAGGTGGGCAGATTGCTTTAGCCCGGGAGTTTAAAGCCAGCTTGGGCAACATAGTAAGACCTTGTCCCTACAAAAAATTAGTTGGGCATGGTGGTGCACACCTGTAGTCCCAGCTACTTGGGAGTCTGAAGTGGGAGGATCTCCTGAGCCTCAGAGGTTGAGGCTGCAGTGAGCTGTGATTGTGCCACTGCACTGCAGCCTTGGTGACAGAGTGACACCCTGTCTCAAAAAAAAAATCATAAACTCATACATAATCTATATACCACAGGAACCTTAGAAATAACATATGGGCTGCAAGTGAACTTTTTAATTCTCAAAGCAATATAAAAATTATACAAAGTTAAAAAAATTAAAAGTTTTTCCTTCCTCTTTTCCTCCAGTCTCCTTAATCTCATTCCCCAGTGGTGACCATAATAATCTCTCATCTATTTTTACTGATTTAAAAAAATTCATATGCAAGCACGTCATCTTTTAAAATCACAAATAAAATCATACAACATAGTTACTATTTTAAACTTGTTTTTATTCACCTCAGTGTATGTGGCTGTTGTTTCATGCCCTAAACATGGGTGTATCTCATTCTTCTAGAGCAGCCAAAGATATTATATAATATACTATTATAGATATAACCACTACCATATTGAGAGATATTTAGATTATTTTTATTTTCTTTGCTTTTACAAATAATACTTCAGCAAACATATGTACAGTTTTTTTATTTTTCTGTACGTGTACTTGCAGAATTAATTCCTTGAAGTACAATTGCTAGATAAAAACACATTTATAATTTTTGAATTATATTGCCACACGATTGACATAAGAAGTTGTAACCATTTATTTTTACTGACAGTTTTTGAGAGGTAAGGATTTTTACAAGGACTGACATGAGTTCTGTGTATGACACATCTGCCTTCCAGTCCATGTCTTCAAACTTGGCTAAACAGAGTTCAGTGGCAGCCGGGAGGCTTAGTGATGATCTAGCAAAAAGAATCTTCCTATGGCCTATGTGCTCGGATAACAGCTGTGGCTGGGAAGGAGCAGCGTTGGGATGAGGTGAGAAATAGCTAGGGAAATACAGCTGCCATCGGTGTAAGGAGCCGGCCTGAGTTTTCTCCAAGGCCACTTCCTAGAAGCCTTCCTAACAAAAGTGGGGGCTGAAGAGCAAAACCAGGAGCCATTCTCATAGATTGTCATGAGAGTGGAGAAGCAGCTACATTAGCACCACGTGTACCCTCACTTTCTCCGGCACACTCTCCGTCTCTGCTCAGATTCTAATCCAAGTGTGCATTTACCTTTTCTCCATAGCTTGTCTTGGCTTCTCAGGAAGTGCTATTCTCAGTCACCTGTGGCTGCTCATCAGCAGGCAGGAGTTCTCTAGGCTTCCTCTCCATTTTACCATTTAGCTTCTCTCTGTGTGATTAACCCAGAAAATTTGCCCGACATTGACCCAGTCCCCAGATTTGAAGAGACAGCCTCATCCTTGAAACTTTGACTCCTTATTCAATACTTTCATAAGTCCTATTTTCATCTTGAAATAGAAACTGGGAAGTGCCTCTTAATCTACACCTAGATCTCAGCCTTTATGTTGAGGGGTTACTTGAATGTTCTCAGGGTTACAGTTACATTAGAAGTTTGGTTTGTATTTAGCATTAACATGCTAGGCACTACGGTAGCCCTTGCAGGTGCAAAGATGAATGAAACACAGTTCATGCCTTCAGAAGTGTATACCATGGTGAGGTATACATTGACAAACACAAGCCACTCTGAGAAGCCTTAAAACAGAAGTATTTAATAAAAATTCTGAGAAGTCTCAATTCTGGAAATTTATCCTACAGAAATACCTGTGCACGTACAAGAGGACTTATAGATAAGTTGTTCACTGCAGCGTTGTATGTTATGAGTAGAGTTAAGAAACTTCCTGTCAACAAGGACATTTTATGCCTCAATGCTGACATGCAGTGATCTCTGGGATATATTTCATATGAGCAATCAAGCTGCAGAACATTATGGTTTATGTTGCTTTCTGTATAAGAAATCTAGGACATAAAAATATGCATTAATGCTTGTATATACATAAAAACATTGGAAGAGCCCAGAAAAAACCAGGGCAAGTGCTAATTTATAGGGGCATCAGGGATTAGTGGGGTGGGTAGGAAAAGGGAATGTAATACAGCTTTTCAATGTATACTTTTCAATGTCATTTTAATTCTTGAGCTATGTGACTGTATTATATATTCAAATATATTAAAGACTAAAATGATAAAATGAAATTCTCCCTCCTCAACCTCTGCATTTTGTGAGGTGTTTGGAGTACTTGGCTACATTTATCTGAGATAAAGATGTTTACAGGGACTGGACAAGGGAGGCACCGAACAGGATGAAGAAACCTTAGAGTCCACTGGATTTTTCTTACCACATTCATAAATCTACTATCTCATGGAGATGATTTTGAGCAGAGCTAGAAGAAAGAATACTATTCTTTACAAAATTTTGAGAGATGGAATTTCTGGGTTTTTGTATTGTTTGAGATGGAGTCTCCCTCTTGTCACCCAGGCTAGAGTGTGGTGGCACGATCTCGACTTACTACAACCTCTGCCTGCTGAATTCAAGCAATTCTCCTGCCTCAGCCTCCCAAGTAGCTGGGCCTACAGGCATGTGCCACCTCACCTGATTTTTTTGTTTTGTATTTTTTGTAGAGATGGGTTTTCACCATTTTGGCTAGGCTGGTCTTGAACTCCTGACCTTAGGTGATCTGCCCACCTTGGCCTCCCAAAGTGTTGGGATTACAGGCGTGAGCCACAGCACCTAGCCTGGAATTTCTTATAAACAGGACACATGTAAGATATGGGAATAATTTCAGGAGTAGATTTCATTCTTTTAGAATCCTATAGGCAAGGCTGTGAGAATGGCCACCTCAGGTTTCCCATGATGATGTGGTAGGAAAGGCACAATTTACCTGCATCTTGAGTTTACCCACTTAAGTAATGAGGTAGAGCAATGTGAACCTTTTCTTCTTAAAGCTTTAAATAGGTTGGGCAGGGCGGCTCACACCTGTAATCTCAGCACTTTGGAAAGCTAAGGTGGGAGAATCACTTGAGCCCAGGAATTAGAAATCAGCCTGGACAACAAAGTGAGACCCTGTATCTATAAGAAATCGAAAACTTAGTGGGGTATGGTGGTGCACACCTGTAGTTCTGGCTATTTGGGAGGCGGAGGCAGGAGGATTGTTTGAGCCCAGGAGGTGGAGGCTGCAGTGAGCCATGCCTGGGCCATTGCACTGGTAATAGAGCAAGTCCCTGTCACACACATACACAGAGCTTTTAATGAAGGTCTCATACTGATTAATGAATGAGAGAAACTGGCTGCCTTACTGAAGAAATGCTTCTTATTGTTAACAAAAATGTGTGCCACGTATTTTCTAGAACATCACACTAAAGTGATTTACAGAAAGGTTGTGGGACTGAATTAGATCTTGAGAATTCTCTGGTGTCTTCCATAAACTGAAATTGGGAAGTTTTGAAGGAAGGTATTAGGGAATAAATAACTTGTGAGGAAAAATGTTCATGATTATGTCATGATTATAATGTTAGAAGATTGTTAAAGAGTGATATAATCATCATATGAGCCACACAAGGACATAGAAGGCCCCTGGTGGATGAGGGGGACTTTACCTCCCCATACGTCTCTGCACCAAAGCTCATTACTAGTATGACTGCCCTGACTTTCCAGCTCGTTTCAGTCCTTTCTGGCCATAAGACTACACCCATGAAGCATGGGGGTGGGTGAGCATGAAGGGGTAACTCCCTGCCTTCCATTTACGTTTCTCTCATTTCTTCCTTCATCCCCTACAAATGTCATTTTGTCTTTCAGCTGGTCTCAAATCAGTCCTGTGGACAAGTCTGAAAAATCCTAGTGATTTAGAAATGAGACTTTCAGATATGATAAAGTCACCATATAACTTATGTAGCCTACACCTAGTATCAGTTCCTTTCTTGAAGCATTAGTGAGTCATTTTACTTTTAAATGATTATCACACAAATTCAAACATGTTAAGCAAGTTATTGCTAGCAATCAGGACCGCTTGTTACATAACATCAGTAAGAGGGACTCAGGTGAGAAACAACTCTGATTATAGGCATTTAGCCCAAA